CAGTAGGACAGCAGACGGTCAGACTGGAAGTCACGTGGAGGACCTCTTTGTGCCAGGCTGGATTATGGGGAGATCTGGGCGATCCTAGGGGAAGGGTGGAGTGGCTGGGATGACGGAGGGGTGCTCCGGGCTCAGAGCAGTGGCTATTTACTAGTTGATTCAGAAGACTCAATATTGGGGTGCCTGGGTGGCTCAGTCGTTAAGCATCTGCCTTCGGCTCAGGTCATGACCCCAGGGTCCTGGGATCGAGCCCCGCATCGGGCTCCCTGCTCAGCCAGGAGCCTGCTTCTCCCTCTTCCACTCCCCCTTCTTGTGTTTCCTCTCTAGCTGTCTCTCTCTCTGTGTCAAATAAATAAATCTTTAAAAAAAAAAAAGAAGACTCAATATTATCACCAACTGGGATGCCCGTAACAGTGTATGGCAATGACTATCCTTAACAGAGCATTTACTAATGGCCTGGCTTGGGCTCAGCCCTTGATGTCCATGATCTTCTACAATGGCATTCAAGCCAGACACAGTCCCTCCCTCACAACGTTTACAGGATAGTCATTTAGTGCAGTTGCTACTGCGGGGCCTCTGCTCTCAGGTGCTCTCATCAGCAGTCCACTGTAAGTGTGTGTGTCTCCACTTTGGGTGCAGAACTGCAGTTCAGAGGCGTCAAGTTCCTTGCTCAACTTTATGTGACTGGAAGGAGGCGGAGCCTCGAATCCAACCTAAGACTTTGTGGCTTCAGCGTCTTGTATTCTGCTAGGACGCCCCAGCGCCAGGAGGCACACGCAGACTTTAGGAATCATGATAGTGTATGCGCCCTGCAGATTCCCAAATAGCTTTGATTGCTGGTGACGCTCAGCATCGCAAACTGCAGTTTGGAGTCCCAAAAAGCCCGAAGGTCTACCACGCTCCAGTTGCCGATGACAGGGGGCCCCTCGGAAAGTGGTCCAGACTCAGACCGTGCCAGATGGCTGTGACCTGCACTGCTTCTTTGAGATGCCCCTGGGCTGTATCCTACTCTGTGTTCATGAAGCAGCAGTGGGAGGGGTCTTGGAGACCCCTGGGCAGAATGAGGCCCAGAAATATGACTTTCCTTAAGTATGTTGCCAGAAGAGAATTGAAGAAGCTCCTGAGAAAGCCCGCTAGCCCTTTCCCATCAGATGAGTTAGTTTTTATTTAAACAAATCATTGCCTGAGCAAAGAGCATCAACTCCGCGGAGTAGAGGGTTTGTGCGTTTCCCAGGTGTCTGGCAGCGGGCACAGGCTGGCTCCAGGTGGCTAAAGAGGATTAAGAGGGGGTAGGGTCAGGGAGAGAGCAAGGCTGCTGGGGTGGGGGGGCCAGGGAGGATGGGGACGACGGGACAAGAGGGAAGGAAGCATTAGAGGAAACCTTGACTTTGGATCTGGGTTAGACGCCGGGTTTCTGGAGAATGTGTGGTGGCTTTTGGTCCTGGCTGTGGTTCCCATGTGGCTTGAGAAAAAGAGGACAGAGGGAGGGAGGCCAATGAAAGTGCCATGGACAGCTCGGCTCAGGTGTCCAGGACGGGTTAATTTCCCATGGAGAAACACGTCTGTCCTTAAGGCACGGCTTCTCACCTTTTCTAAAAGCAAAGCATTCATGTCTAAGAGCCACTGGGTCATGGGAGAGGCACAGGACCAAACTGCAATCCTGTAAGATATATCTGTCTTTTTGAATTTTATTATTATTTTTGTAAATATGGTTATAAAGTAGCCCATCTCTTCTGGATCACTGACTCAGCAGAAGCAAACCATATTTTAAGGCCATTGCAAACCAAGCTTTAACTCTGTTTCAGTCTGTCTCAGCCACATCATGCTCCTCACTGAGCAGCCAAGGCATATTCTGATTGTCCTCATTATTATTATTATTAATAAAAACAGCGTACTTTTCATTTCAGTCACCCTCACATTATCTTATTTTATTCTTGGAACAACTTGTGAGTTCCCCAAAGCCCACGTTCCTATGTTTTTGTGCAGGTCAGTGTTTCTCCTACACATCATCCCTTTACACGTTATTCCCATGTGTTCTGCATATGGAGTATCCTTGTACTTAGACTTTGTCCTAGGTCACTTTACTCTTTTTTTTTTTAAGATTTATCTATTTAGAGAGAGAGTGAGAGTGTGAGCAGAGGGAGGGGCAGAAGGAGAGGGAGAGAGAGAATCTCAAGCAGAGTTCCCTGAGCATGGAGCTCAATGCAGGGCTCCATCTCATAACCTGGAGATCATGACCTGAGCCGAAACCAAGAGTCAGACGCTCAACCGACTGAGCCACCTAGGCTCCCCTACTCTCTTTTTGAAAACTTAAATAGCTATTTTTAGAAAGATAATCTTATGCAAAAATAGAAGCTGTCACTTGCTATAAATAGAAGGAAACAGTAAAAATAATTATAGAACTATTAATATATATATTTAAAGTTTGGCACTTAAAATACCACCTAAAATGTCCCTTAGCACTGTGTTACAGGCTCCACACCTTGGGAACTCTGGGGTTGATGAATGTGCGAAGTGACGTCTCGTCCCTGTCTGTCCCACGCTCTGGGCCTGCTGTCGGGGTACAGAAGGGAAAGACAGGGGCTCTCTGAGATCCACGTAAAGCAGAATAAAAAGGAGTGTAGCGGGGTCCTTTGGTTTGTCTCTGGAGAGCTGAAACCGGAAGGGCACAGAGATTTCCTTCAGGTGGCCGGGCTGTGGGGCCATCCCAGCGGGGAGAACACAGCTCCTCGCCCATTAGGGTGGGCTGGCTCCCAGCTCACCTGTCACATGTTATCTTAGGAACAGGCTCAAGATATACATTGGCCTCTTTAAATGTCACAGCCTTCCAGGGCCTCAGAAGAGTCTAAAATTGTTCTTTCCAATCAGTGGCCATCTGGGAAGATTTTTGGTTTTTCTGGCTCGTGTTCTTGGAAGCTGCCCTTTTCTCTCTCCTTCAGATAAACTTTCAGCTTGAGATCCCTTCATAATTGAGTCATCTTGTACTTTGTGAGGTGATGGCTCTCCAAATCATCCTCGCTGTCCTTGACAGCACACACAGGGGAGAGTGTGGGCTTCACATTGACAGTTGGAATCTAAGCTCTGTCACTGAACATCCGGGCAGCACCAGGGACCCTGCTGGGGGTGGGGAAGCAAAAACGGACGCTTGTCTCCCTCTCCCAGTTTAATGGAAAAGCCAGGGAAATAAATAAATATGGCGACACAGTATAATAAGTGCTAAGATATGAGTAAAGCACAGGCTGTTGTTAGAAAATGGAAAAGGGCATCAAACCAGACCAGGAACACCAGGGAAGGCTTCCTGGAGGAGGCGACACTTGAGTTAGACCTTGAAGGATGAGTACGAACTTGCTAGAAATGGAGGAGAGAGCAAATCATCCCAGAACAGGGAGCAGCATGGGGGTGAAGCTGAGCATAAGTTTTCTCATCTGTAAAAAGCTAAAGTGATCCTCACAGGCTTACTGTCAGGATGAAATGAGTTGATGTATGCAATTTGCCTAATGCTGTTCAGGACACAGGATAAGAGTCTGAGCTGCCCATGTGACCCCTTGGGCACTCCTGTGCGGACCCACAGAATGTGGTGCATCTTCAGTTGTGCTACTTAGAACAGGTGACAGGATTTATCTGTTTGTAAGACCATTGTCCCTGATGGATGGAAATTCCCTGGCTAGAATGATGGAGGGTCAGACTTTCCTTGACCGTGGCAGTGACTTTTCTTTCCATGGGGAGACCTTAACCATGTTAGCAGAAGCCCAAGAGAAACTCTAGGTTGACATTTTTCTAGTGGAATATTTATGTTTAAGAGTAGTTGCATAGAGAGGGCACCTGGGCGGCTCAGTCGGTTAAGTGTCTGACTCCTGATTTTGGCTCAGGTCTTGAGCCATGCTCAGCAGGAGTCTGCTTAGATTCTCTCTCTCCCTTTGCTCCTCCCCTTGCCACATTCTCTCTCTCTCAAATTTATTTTGAGAGAGAGAGTGCGTGAGCGAGAGAGAGCATGAGTGGGGGGAGGGGCAGCGGGAGAGAGAGAGAAGCAGACTCCCCACTGAGCAGGGAGCCTGACGTGGGACTTAATCCCAGGACCCCGGGATCATGACCTGAGCTGAAGGCAGACCGTTAACCGACTGAGCCACCCAGCACCCCATAAATAAATCTTTTAAAAAAAGAGTAGTTGCACAGAGAAAATACTAGTTAGAAAACACTAAGTCAAAAAAATATATGCACCCTCATGTTCACTGCAGCATTATTTACAAGAGCCAAGCAACTAAGTGTCCATTAATGGATGGCTAACGGATATGTATGAGATGGAATGTTATTCTGCCATAAGAAAGAATGAAATCTTGTCATTTGTGACAACACGATGGACCTTGGGGGATTGTGCTAAGTGAACTAAGTCAGACAGGGAAAGAAAAATAGTGTGTGATCTCACTTATGTGGAGTATAATAATAATAATAATAATACCACCACCTTGAGCTCATAGATCCAGAGAACAGATTGGTGGTTGCCAGAGGCAGGGATCGGGGTGGGAGAAATGTGTGAAGGGAGTCAAAAGGTACAAACTTGTAGTCATAAAATAAATAAGTCCTGGGAATGTAATTATAGCATGGTGACCATAGTTAAAAACACTGTCTTGTATTTGCTGGGAGTGGATCTTAAAAGTTCTCATTACAAGAAAAGAAATTTCTAATTGTGCATGGTGACGGATGTTAACTAGTCTTATTTGTGGTGATCATTTTGCGATATATATAAATAACGAATCATTATGTTGCACACCGAAACTAATATAATGTTGCGTGTCCATTATTATCTCAGTAATAAAAAAAGAATAGCTCCACAGTTACACTTCTGACGTGCTGTTGCCCCTCCCCAGCATTCGAAGGGAGCACATCCCTCCCTGTATCCTGCTCCTAACACTACACTTAGTGACCCCTGAGGTCTCCCAAGGGTTTGGACAACACCCCGCGTGTAGCAGGTACTCAAGAGCTGCTCCTTGAATGAACAGGGAACCACGCGGGGAAGCAGCGCTGTGATTCAGGGTAGGCTGCCCTGTTGCTTTTCTAGTCTCTGCTTTGCTGCTACGGATCCTGAGGTTTATAGCTTCTCTCTTCTGGAGAGAATGTTCCATGATGGGCTCCTGAGAGGACAGTGGGACACCCTCCTTCTCTGTCATCTTTTTTTTTTTTAAAGATTTTATTTATTTATCTGAGAGAGAGAATGGGAGACAGAGAGCATGAGAGGGGAAGGGTCAGAGGGAGAAGCAGACCCCCCCGCTGAGCAGGGAGCCCGATGTGGGACTCGATCCCGGGACTCCAGAATCATGACCTGAGCTGAAGGCAATTGCTTAACCAACTGAGCCACCCAGGCGCCCCTCTCTGTCATCTTGAGCTGCAGCTCACCATAAGGGAACTTGGAGTTAACTTACCCGGGAGAAATGGTACCAGACGATCATGTGCCCAGGGCCTGTTCCGTGGACACTTGTGACCACAGCTCCTGTGCCTGCAGGTAGGAACGGCCTGGGCAGGCCTGTCTGCACTTGCTTTCCTGGACCTTTGTGGCCAGTAAGCCATGCCCAGCCACCCTGAGTCTTCTTCCTGAGTTCTGATAAAACCCCATGCTGTGGAGATAGGTAGGGCAAAGACCTTAATGGGCACGAAGCTGCAAAAGATACGGGCGGCCAAGGGTATGACTAGAGCCTCTGCCCGCCCCCTGCCCCCCCTTGCCATGGTGAAATGTGATCCCTGGCAGCTGGAACTGTGTTCTCTTGGGTTCCGAATCCCCAGCACCTGGAATTGTACCTGCATCTTAGTAAATATTCACTGCATGTGAGTGAATGAATTTCTCCTGACTTGCAGGCTCAGCCCTGCCCCAGCTCTCAGAGCAATAGGAGTGTGAGACAGGACGTTCCGGAGCAGCTCAGGCACCTGCTCAGTTCACCTCCTCATGTGGGTTTGGACTTGACTCCCCTTCCCTGTCTGGCTGGGCCAGGCCAGTCCCCTAGGCCCAGGCGGGGGTGGGGGTGGAAGGCTTGTGGGCTATGCCCTTTGTGGCCCTAGCTGTTGATGTGACCCAGTCCAAGGTAGGTTCCAGGCGGGCAGCAGACAACTAAAACACTGATGCGTGTTCTGTCCGAGAGCAGGCCCTCGCCCTGTCTGTTCTTCCCTTGCCTTTATTCTAGCAGCTCAGTGTGGGGTGTGAGCACGAGCGGCAGGGTACAGGACACAAGCGGGGGCGGGGGGGGCGGGGAGCGGCTCTGTTCTCACAGGGGCCATCCCTGTGCCCCGCCCCAGTCTCCCCTCATCTATGTTCTTCTCCTTACAGGCTCCCCTGGCCACTCCGGCTCCACGTCCATGAGCCCATCGGCAGCCCTGTCCACAGGGAAGCCAATGGACAGCCACCCCAGCTACACGGACACCCCCGTGAGTGCCCCACGGACTCTGAGTGCAGTGGGGCCCCCCCTCAACGCCCTGGGTTCTCCATATCGAGTCATCACATCTGCCATGGGCCCGCCGTCGGGAGCGCTAGCAGCGCCCCCAGGAATCAATCTGGTCGCCCCGCCCAGCTCCCAGGTAGGTGCCCTTCCTCTCGCGAGACTTCCATCTGGTCGTCCCGCCCAGCTCCCCAGGTAGGTGCCCTTCTCTCGCGGGA